GGACGCAACAGTATTTGGACTGCTTCGTTTCTCGTAACTCCATCGCATTGACTGAAACTGGTGCTTTCATTCTGGGCAGTGCATCTGTTGCGTTCTTTCTTCTGGGAATGGTGCCTGAACAAATGATGCACCTGAGCGGATATTGGGCTATTCTCGTCGCCGGTGGCTTGCTTGCCTGGGCCTGCGTCAGTTTCATCCCCGATGAAAATGTGATCTATTCGCCTCAAGCATTGCTGATCCCTATTTTGGGCAAAATCCATCATGTTTGCGATCCCTGGAGTGTACAAAGTGCAACTTATCGCGTCTGTGCGGAGTTTGCTCAGTTATTTCAATACCGACTTTCTGCTGTGCTCGAAGAAGTATTCTCGGCTATGATCACGCCATTTTTGCTCATTTTTGTTGTTCCCAACGACACGCTTGAAATCGTCGACTTTTTGCGTAATTACACAGTGAAATTACCTGATTTAAGTGACGTATGCAGCTTCGCGCAAATGGACGTGCGTCGGCATGGCGATCCGCATTGGCCTCCGGATACAAACGAGGACCACGAAGCCGACACGCCACATGGAGGGGACTCTGAGCACGAGACTTCCCGTATGCTACCAACTTATGGCAGAATTGAGTTGAGCCTAATGCATTTCCATCTGAACAACGCTAGCTATCCTTTGCCAGAATCGAGTCGAGCCTACTTGTTAGCCGTGCGTAAGCAGTTGATGCAGGACATACACTAACCGTTGATACAAGCCCAACAAGACCAAAACGGTCACCCTTCAGTTGCCAGTGGTTTAGCTGGTCCGTTTTCACCCACCAGCCTATTCACATCCTTGTATGGTGGTCAAAGCTCTGTCCAGCGAAGTTTACCTCATTGGGGTTCTCCGTTCGGTAACCAGGCCCAACAACTAAAGAGAGTTTCATATTTACCTGGACCTAGTTACATTCCAATTGACACGTTGGGTTTCGTACGAGCTCTAGCTCAATCTATGCGTGTATTTATGCGACGCTCGGATCCTGAAATAGCCTACTACTATCTCAGATTCAACAATTCATAAGGATGTATCTTCAGCTTCACTGGATCCGACTACGGCACGTGCTGCAGGTGATCGCAAATCAGATCTCCCCAAAGATACCCATAAAACTGTTCCTCCTGGTTCCGCTCCAACAACAATGATGCAAAGCATTGATCAACCGCGGCCTTTAGAGCAAAGTATCATGGCGTACGCCCCACCAGGATTTTCTTTGGATCCAGTAAACATGAGTTGGATGGCTGCCTCCGCTCTGTTCTCAGTAGATGGTGTAGGCCNTTCAGCTTCACTGGATCCGACTACGGCACGTGCTGCAGGTGATCGAAAATCAGATCTCCCAAAAGATACCCATAAAACTTTCCTCCTGGTTCCGCTCCAACAACAATGATGCAAAGCATTCATAAACCGCGGTCTTTAGAGCAAAGTATTATGGCATACGCCCCACCAAGATTTTCTTTGGATCCAGTAATCATGAGTTGGATGGTTGCCTCCGCTCTGTTCTCAGTAGATGGTGTAGGCCATCCTATGTACCGTGCAGAAAACGGGTCAAGTCAGCATTGGGGTGTAGCCAGCAGTATGTTCGGTCATTCGAATAGCCGTTACGGCTTGGCAGATGTTCTTACTGCGGACACCTCAGCGAGTATACTTTATATGCATGAGCTGGCACATCGTCGTCGCCAGCAACAAAATCTGCAACAGTCTACAGGCGCTCCTCCAACTATGGGTGCATCCTCTGGCGGACCATGGGATTTAGGACCTGGAAGTTCTTATACAGGATCACCTTCGCCGTATCAGCCACTGGCTTCAACTTCCGGAGGTGGTGGATCTGGTCGTTCTG